ACGCTGCACACAGATACACTGCACGCTGCACACAGATACACTGCACGCTGCACACAGATACACTGCACGCTGCACACAGATACACTGCACGCTGCACACAGATACACTGCACGCTGCACACAGATACACTGCACACAGGTACACTGTGCACAGATACACTGCACACAGATACACTGCACGCCACACACAGATACACTGCACACCACACGGCGCACACAGATACACTGCACACAGATACACTGCACACAGATACACTGCACACCGCACACTGCACACAGGTACACTACACGCTGCACTGCACACCGCACACTGCACACTGCACACAGGTACACTACACGCTGCACTGTTTCAAGAGCTTTATTTCTGTCAACTAATGTAGCCCTCACAACCACACTATTGATTATCTTCCATTTTTGAGGTAAAGAAACCGAGAGGTTAAATAAATTGCCAACTTTCATGTCACAGTCAAGCCCCAGCTGCGCGACTCCAGGCAACTACTGAGAACTGCCTCTCTGTGAGAGGTGCCATCAGAGCCCCTTCACTGGCTTATGCCATCTGTCCCCTTCTCGCCCCAATCAGCACCACGGTCTAACCTTTGAGCTTCCCTGTCTTGGCTAATGGCAACCCCACCCATCCAGGTGCCCAACTGAAAAGCAGTAGTCACCCTTCAGTCCTCTCTCTGCCCCACCTCCCACACTATCCCATCGGCATTCACGGCAGTTCTCCGGGTCCCGTCCACCCTGCTCACGTCGCCAGGCTGTCTTGCCTGGTTTACTTCAACAGCTTCCACTCTCAACTCTGCGTCTCATGACGGCCTGGGAGATGTTTCTAAATTGTAGAACAGATCCCTTTCTTCCTCTGCTCCACGCACCCACTGTTCTTTGAGTAAAGCTGACTCTCCCACACAGCCTGGGGCCCCTACCTGATGCCCTCTCTCCAACACATCCCCTGGCATGGTTCCCTTTGTCGCTATGTTCTAGTAGGCTGCCTTCCTCCCGTGCTGCTCCAGGAGCTGATCTTTCTGCGTAGGTTCTTTCCCAATTCTTCTAATAGCTGACTCATTCCCACCCTTCGCACCTCCACTCAGAGATAATCTCCCACAGGCCATCCCCATGGTGCCTTGTCATCATCTCCATCCAGGGCCCCTTCCAGGTGTGTCTATCCCATTCAATCATTTCTCCAACGCCCCCCACAACCTCCCACCACTGTACATGTGGACAGACAAATGACACCTGCTCTTTCATGTGAGACCTTCCTTATTAGAAGATAACTCAGATACTGCATGATCATGCGTTACTGCTGGTCAGTTTTAAACACAAAAAAGAGATTCCTTTGGTCACCGTGGTCTTCTTTTGCCCACACAGGGTAAAGAAAATCCTAATGAAACATCCAATTATTGGTCAAGGTATTGAAAACAAAATATAAATACTACTCCACTCCCATTGTTTTAAAATTCTCCTAACATCTCTCAATGTAAGTTTCTTCTCTGCAGAGGTCACAATATGCTTAAGGCTGAGTACAAAAGTTAACAAATGTTTCAAAATATATCTGATAAGTTTAATTTTCTCCAAAAGCACTAAAATACTCTCCTTTTCTGGCTTTCTACCTTACCCAGCAAGGCCTGCACCCGGAAAGTTTATATCAGAAAGCAGATGGCCTCTGTTTCTCTGCCTATGAAAATCTTATTTACAGTGTTGTACATTTCACACGGTGACCTCATATCTGGAACCCATTCCTTTCCCCATCTGCAAAGAACAACTGTTCTCAGATGTGGGGGGAGGCCCTGGCGGCAGAGCCTCATGATATCACAGGCCAGGAGGAATCACTTAGAGCTCCTGGGAATGAAGCTGTTATATTGATCGGATTTTTGTTTTGCTTTATTTTAATGTCAATAAAAATTAAAAGGGACCAAAAGCAAATCCTGTTTCAGAATAGTGACTGTCCTCTCCCTCCTTCAGTTATAAGTTTCCCTCATCCTTCTCAAAAGAGAGTATTTTGACCCTTTATTGAGTCCATAAACACTTAATATAAATTGATTAAGCCTCTATCAACTGCCAAGCACTACGCTAACTGGTGGAATGAGACATGACTCCTGCCATCAGGAAGCGGACAGTCTATTTGGGGAAGCATAAAAGCCCAGAGATGGTAATAGGTTTAAAGTGTTGACCAAAAAAGCCAGCTTCCAGAAAGCAGTAACCACCAACTCCACTTGGAAAATTAAAGTGAGGCTTCTCTAAGTGGGTAACATTTAGGTAGGACTCAAAGGGCAAGGACGATTACATCAAGATGGTGGGAAGACGCATTCCAAGCCTGAGGAACAGCATGTACAAAGTCACACAGGAGAAGCAAGGAGCACAGTTCTCAGAGGAAAGGTCTTAAAGTCCAGGGTGAATGGAGCAGAGTGGCCCGGGGGAAAAGTGATAGGACATGAGAGTGGGAGAGGCACAGAAGGTCCACACACGAAACGAGAGAGGACCAGGAGATTTGGAGCACAAGAGAGGTCTGCGTGGGCTGAATGAGGACGAGCAAAGGGATGGGTTACCGAATGGACAGATGTCCAGGTAAACTTCTACTCTCCTAAGAGAGGCCTTGTCGAAGAAAGCCAGGGGATGCTTTTTAAAAAGCCAATAGTACTCTAATGATAAAGATCAATCATTTGTTAAAGGACAGTTTTTTATTTTTATTCGAGAGTCTATATCCATTACATGTGCACTTGACCAAAGGCAAATATAAAAAAAGAGGATAAAAGGGAAGAGAAGCCCAGCTACAGTGATGTGGGGCGCTGCTGCACAATGCTAGGGTCACATGGGAGGCCTGGGTTTGGACTGTGGGCTGACCCAAACAGGACACCCGTGCACACCTGCGATCCTAACTGGAAGGCTGAGGAGATGATCACCACATGGTGAAGTGCACAGATGTATCTGTGTGTGTCTGTGTGTGTCTGTGTCTGTGTGCGTGTGTGCATGCGTGTGTGTGTGTGATGAAAGAAAAAATCAACTTAAAAGAAAAGGAAGAGGGACCAGCAGTTAGCATAATGGCTTTGTCGCTGAACTCCCATGTAGTCGACCACGGTTCAAGTCCCAGACCCAGTGGCTTAAACTCACACCAGGTGCATGTGCATGCGTGCCCAAGATCCCAAGAGGAGAATGGAGGAGAAGGGATTGCGGCGTGGCCATCTCCTCTGGGGGATGATTTCTCACTCTCTGTCTCTCTGTCTCTTTCTGTCTCTCTGGGGAGCACACATGTCCTGTAGCAAAAAGGAAAAAAAAAGAAAAAAAGAAAAAGAAAAGGAAGATAACATTATAGCATCTGTTAAATGGTTAGATATTCAGCAGAAAACACAAATATGGTAAAAACTGGGCTCTCAGAAGTAAAGAAATGGAACACAAGGGCAGTTCAGTGGTGCGGCAGTAATGTGCTACGCAAGAGAGGCTGGATCCTACAAGGTAACCATGGTTTAAATCTCCAGCCCAATCACACTGAAACACACAGACATGTGTGTGAGAGTCCAAGATCCAGTGGGCTGGAGGGCAAGAGGAAGGAGCCCAGTGTGACAAGACTCTATGGAATGTGCCTCTCTCTCTCTCTTTCTCCCCCTCTATCTCTGTCTCTCACTCCCCTCTCTCTGCCCCTATGATTTCTGGGCCTGTGTGCATGTGTGTGTGCACACACACACTCTCACAAATAAAGAAATTGGAATACAGTCAACACTTACAAGCGAGCCAGGTAATACACAGCAATATTTCTTTTTTTTGGGGGGGGGAGAGTTTTTTGCTATGGGGCGCGTGCACTCACCGTAAAGACAGAGAGACAGAAAGCGAGAAATCACCCCCCGGGGGAATGGCCAGGCCACAATCCCTTCTCCTCCATTCTCCTCTTGGGATCTTGGGCACACATGCACATGCACCCAGCATGAGTTTAAGCCACCGGGTCTGGGACACAAACCGTGGTCGATTACATGGGAGTCCAGTAACATAGCCATTACGCTAACTTACACAGCAATATTTCTATACTAACCCAAGAATTGTAAAATAGACTTAATTCAAAGAATATGTAGTCTGCCTCCCTTTCTAGTCTCAAAACCTGCATGTATTCCATGCCTAAGGAGACCCCAGCTGCATTCTTTCATGCTATTTCCTAAGTTTCCATGAGCACTGGTGCCACCACCTCTCCATCCTGCCCACACACACAGATAGATCACTCACTAACAGAGCTGGACAATAGCGGCCCTTGGATAATCACTCCACGGGTCACCTCCTCCAAGCCTCTCCAGAACCTTGGTCCACACAGCTTCTCAGTTTCCCCACACTGCCCCATAAGCCCAGTCACTCTGTGACCTGAGCACTTGCCACTTTACCCCACATGACTGCCATCCCCCACCGGGCTGCAAACGTGAAAACAGAAAGGCAGTCTTATCCCTTCTGCCAGAGAGCACCCACACAGCATGCTCTGAGCCAAGACTGGTCCTGGCTCCCACGATGCTCAATAAAGGTTTGCTCTGCCAAGGTACGAAGCTCACTGTGGACTTTTTTATAAAATGCAAAGCACTCAACAAACATTACCTATTGCTATTTACTGTTTCCTTCCCAACTTTATCCATTTCTCAGTAGTTCAGCATCCATGAGCTCCAGGCAAACCCAATTTCCCACTTCTGTCTTTAGCAGCTCATTCTCTCCACTTGCAAAGCTCTCTCTCATCTTCACTTATCCAAACCACATCAAACCATGGCCTGCCTCAAATACATCCCTCCCAGTGAAGCACCCCAGGCAACCCCAACTGGAGATACTGCTCGTCCTCTCAGGCCTCAGAGCACTCTGCCTGTCCTGTGGGGAGGCGCTTCTCACCTCTAAACGCACTGTGGGTCTAAGAGGCAGTAAGCCCGGAGCCTCATGTCATCCTCTCTCCCGGCACACAGCACCAACAGGAAACAGTTTAACGAGTAAGGAACTGCTTTGGATTCCACATATGCAAGGAATAGCCTTCTGGTAGATTTTAAGCACCTGGATAAGTGTTCCTCTCTTCAGGCCTTCTGAAACTTCCTCCTTGGACATGTAGGTTTCAAACACGCTCTTTTTCTTCCCTCGCATGGACTTGTTCTTTGACTTTTTGTCACCTGGTGAAGCACCAACACCGTGTGGTCCAACCACAGAAGACACACCTAGAAACATGAGGCAGCGATCAACTCTTTCCTCATACGTCTCTGTATTTTCAAAACTGGAGATGCCACACAATTTTGTTATTGTTATTTAAAAAGACCAACGACAGAATAAAACTCCCTGATGATGATTTCAAAGAGTCACGAAAAGGCAGAGTGGAGAAGGAAACATGAATACCACGCACATGGAGAGACTACGCATTAAACAGCACCACGGCATGTATGGAGCATAATCTGCGTAACAAGCTTGGTATGCTTTGCTGTGCACAGGCACAATCTTTATAAAAGTAGGAAGTAATAGAAGATTGTCACTTCACTGGAAGGAATTTAACAGCTGTACTCAATATAGCAATAAATTAAGACAACAAGAAACCACATCTAATTCTAGAACACATAACACAAAAGAATATTTAATAGGTCACCGAAAGGATGACAGACCCCCTGAGTCCCAAGAGCCACCCTCTGCCTGCACTCCCATTCTTCTTGTAAGGCAGTGCTCCGCTGCAAGGACACACTCCATTTTCCTTTTGCTACCTCTAGGGGTCCCCAGGGGCCGGAGGTTCAGCCTGTAGTCAGGATGGCTCATTACTGGTTCCAAGGTGGCCTCTTCTCTCTAGTCCAGGGAGCCTCCACTGCTCTGCTCAGAGTTCTTCCTGCCTTGAGCAGCTCGGCTGTCACTAGCTGAAACAAAGAGAGATTGGTGACTGGAGAGCAGCGGGCCTCTGTCCCCTCGGAAATTCAGATGGGCTAGGATGGCCAAGGCAACATGGTCCCCTCCTGGATCCTGGCGTAACACTGTCCTGGGCAGTAGTCAGGCATAACGTTTGTCCGAGTTTCAAGGCCTCAACTTCACAGGTGCCACTAGGCTGCTGCTTTGAGCCACCACAACTAAAAATCTCTACAAACAGGACAATGAGGCAAAAAAGAAGGAATTATGTAGTTGTATTCCAATACACAAAAACAGGAGAAAATGTGGTTTTGAAAACGGCAGAACAATCTAGAATGCAAAAACTAAACTAGGTACTAAATTAGGGCTCAAGATGTAGCAGTTACTAAGCTTAACCTAAATATACTTTTTATACACACACATGCACCCGCACACATACACACATATACAAACAGCTCTTCAGAATTCATCATCGAAACCTAATTCACTGCCACAAATTGATCCCCAGCACTTTTAGGAAACCCCATACAGTTCACAAGCTTTCAAAAAATGGCAATATATTTGCTGGATATCTATTCCCCTACTCTTACCTGCCATCAGCTCAAACCAACTGTCTGATCAGAAGATCAGGCCGCTCCTTCTAAGGAAAACAAGAGCCGCCACGCGGATCAGCACACTGGGCTGTGGGGTCCTGCAGCCAGCTGCCTTCTACCTGGATTCTGATCATGTCATCACAACCTCTACTTTCTCACCTCTGCCGGCCATGAGACTGAGTCAAGTCCATATTTGCACATTTCCAAAATCCTGGTGGGCAGCCTGCTTTCCTAGAAAATGGATCGCGATGTCATTCTAAACAGTGCTTCCATTTCCTCTACGTTTCCTATCCTTCACCAAAATGATGTAATTTTTCTCTAAACTGAAACTAATATTAATTCAGGAGAAGAAAAGCAACAAAGACAAAGGGTGACAGGATACCTAGGCCATGAGTAGATTCAGAGGCAAAGTTAATCCAGTTAGGAGAAGGGCAAGAAAGAGATGGCCTTAACCAGGAAGGGAGTGAGAGAGCTCAGATTGCCTTCGAGTTTAAGCCAGAAGCGCATTCATCCACTCATTAATTCAACCAATACTCCTGCCAGACACTATATGAGGCACAGTGAGGGATACAAAGGTTTATGAGTGTTTAAGTCGTATCGAAATGACAACTAACTCCAGGTGAGGAGTGGTAGGCACTATATGTCTTTTAAAGTATGCAGACATGCACATACGAGAAAGAAGGGGTATCTCCAGGTCAGGAAATCTGAAAACTTTAGGAAAGATTTTAAGGAAGAACTGCAAATTTAAGAAAAGAGACTGCTGGGGAAAAAGAAAAAAAAAAAGACAAATTAGAGATACAAACAGAAAAACACAGACAAGTTCTTGCAACATTAATTCCATTTGGGCAGAATCCAGCCTATATGAAGGGAGGCAGTGGCAAGAAAATTAAAACAAGTTGGAAGGTCTAGAAAACCAGCCTGGCTTTTCAAAGGCATTTGGGAGTTTCTGGAGCATGAATGAGCAAAAGAGAAAACACAGCCTGGCACAGGAGTCGGCATCCTCTGAGACTGAGAGAGACGGGGCATCTGCACGTAGAGGAGAACCAGGAAGAACCATCCTAAAGATGTAGGAAATGAACAGATGGACAAACAGAAAGGCAGGCTGAGCTAGAGTTGCACGTGTGGACCCTGAAAGGAAGAGACCCTTCCCTAGTGCTGGCGACCAGGCAGGTGGAGAGGTGAGCGAGGAGGTGGCAAGAAAAGATGATGAATTCTACTAGGGACAATATATGCCTCCGTATGGAGTGAGCCACCAAATATAGCCACGAGGAGCATCATGCCACTTGCTCAACACGATACAACATGGAACAAGAGGCTATGCCTTATAGTACATGTAGTAGGCTGTGCCATCTAGGTTTGTGTAAGTACGTGGTTCACACAACAGTGAAATCACTCAACAGCACGTTTCTCTGAATATCTCCCTTCAATAAGCAATGCATGACTATACTTGTAAACTAGGGCATAACATAGAGAAATTAGCTATTTGCATAAAGACGGTAACCCAAAGTGTTCAAGAATGGGTGGATTGCTGAGAAAGGACAAGCTGACACAGAGGAAGGTCTAGGACAACAGACGAAGAAGCAATCCCCCTGTCCCCTGACAGCTGCGAAGGCCCGTTCACCTAGGAGAAGTTCTGGGCACTCTTCCTTGACAAAATTTAGATTAAGGCAACTTTTAGGAAATGCAAAGAAGTGGGAGATATAACAAAGAAGCTAATAAAGATGTAGGAAATGAACCAATAAAGCAGGTGTTAAGAAAACAAGGAGACAAGACCTCCTAAAGGAGTCCAAAAGATTCGCGATCAGAGTTTGGGCCCACTGTGAATGAGAATACAAATAACAGCAGCCTTGGGTAGGATGAAGGCTTAGGGCAAGATGCCAACAATTCAAAAACAAGAGTCAGAACTGAAAATAAGGTAGCAACCCTGGTAAAGACAAAAGTTCAAAGAAGAGAGTTACTGTCAGTTAAGTGAAATGGAGCTTCAGAGACGTCAACTCGCATGTCCCCAGGTCAACTATGTTTGTACCTTTCCTTTAGCATGAAAATCCCAGTTTGTGTGATTTGCATGTCTCCTGAATTCAGAAAGACAAGCAATGTTTAGTTGGTTCATCACTGTAACCCCAGGGGCCCCACAGTACCAAGCTCAAAATAGGTGCTCAAAAGCCATTCCTTAGATGAATTAGTTTGTTTTCATAAATAAGCAGTGAGAACATCAAGCAGAAAAGAATCATTCAGAGAAATCACATTAAAAATAAGTCAGCAAAGAATGAGAAAAGAACACAGGACCGAGGAAACGAAAACGGCAGACAGTCAGGCACGGAGTCAAGGCTCACCGGTGGGTGCTGACGCACTGGAAGGTGGTGGAAAGGTTCTCTGCGTACGTGAGAGGCAAAGCAGAAGCAAGTAACCATCCGACCCCTGGACATAGCTGTGAAGGCCCACTCACCTCCTGAAGGAATCCTGAGCACTCCTCCCCTGACACACTGAAAGTACAAGTCAATTTCCAGCCCTCACCAGCTTGCAGAATGGGGACCACTGCCCTGCTGCCCACTGGTTCCTAGAGAAGGTATCCTAGTAAGGAAATAGTCATACATTCTGAAGAGCTGGGCTGGGGTTAAGATGATAGGGCAAAACTGTCAATAGTGTCACATGGTACAAGAGGGCAGGAATGATGAAAAATGGAGAAAAGACACTAGGCTTGAGAGAGTAAACCTGAACAAAGCACTTAGGTGGGAGAAGTAATGCCTTGAAACCCTCTATATTCCCCAACCCCAACACAAAGCACACTGCACAGCAGGCAGTTGGAAATCTGAATAAACAAATCCTACTTGGGACAGAAGTCAGGTTACAACACAAATACATTAATAAGAAGTGTGAAGAGTAAGGCCAGGACTGCGCTGGAACAGCCCAGAACTAAGGTACAAAATCTGGAAAAGCAAAAGTCCTGCAAGTGCCAGCCCCACACTTGCAGAACCCAAGAGTGAGCGCATCCTAGAATGTCTGTGTTCATGCATCTCTTGTCTTAGCCTAGTTTCAGCGCTATGAGCAGCAGGAGCAGATAAAATTTATGAACCTACGTAGTGCGGGTATAAAAGAGAGAAAGTCAAAAGACAGGGTTAAAGAGAGAAAAGGCTGGATCTATTCAGAAGCTCAGAAAGCAACAAAGGAAAGCAAAAGATGGAGAAAACAAGTGAAAGAGGCCTAATTGATGGAATAACAACAAAAAAAGAGTACAGAGTTTAAATAGATTTCTGTGAAATTAGAAAGATGAACAATTTACATTACAGACCAGCGAGAAACATGGACTCATCAAAAAGCAAGACACTACTTAACATCATTTTTAAAATAACCAGTAGTTCCTCACTTCACAGCATTTTGAAATCAATTTGGGTTTGAATAAAATTTAAATGTTTTAAAATGAGAGACAAAGACAGAAAGAAAAGGAAGAAAAAAGGGAAAGGGAGGAGGCAGGAGGAAGGACATCTAGAACAGCATAATGAGGAGTTTGACAAATATTATCTACCCAAAACAAAACCAATACAACTGGACAAAACTGTCAAAACCAATTAAAGACCCTGACATTGACCAAAAACAACAAACTGAGAAGCACGGGCTCAAGAAAATCTACTGAATCTTGGGAAGAACTGTGGAAGTTCGTAGTGTTTCAGTTTGGGGCTCCTGCCATCCCATACTTACTCCCAATTCATGTGGTGGGAGGAACTGGGGGCTGTAGACAGAGCCTCTCTGTGTTGTCACCAGAATTTTGCCTCAGCCTCCCAAGTAGCTGGGACCACAGGCATGCCCCACCATACCTAGCTCTCCCAAAGTGGTCCAGGAATCCCCAGGAGGTAATTCAAATTTTCAAATTCCCAGCCTATACATGGGAATTCTTCCCTAGTCACGTAGACATTCTAAAGAGCTATTCTACTCTGTCTGCTTCACTCAACAGTCCAGAGCCGCTTATACCAACTTTACTGAACCCTGGAGTCTCTCGAATAAGCAATATGTATTCTAAAATTCCCTTGGTATGTGGAGGGTTTTCAACATAGACATCCTACCTGTTAACTGGAAAGGGACCCATCTACTTCCACAGGGCAACCACAGAACAAAAAAATGAAAGAGGGGATCTCTCTACAAACTATAGGAATTAAAAGGATTATAAGGGAATACAATGAACAACTGCATGCTGTTTATACAACTTAGACAAAGCGAATTCCTAGAAAGACAAAAGTTACTGAAAGTGACTAAAGAAACAGAAAACATGAATAGACTGGTAACAAGTAAGGAAACGGAATCAGTACCGAATTTTCAGTGTTTCAACAGAAAAATGTCTATGCCCCCAATAGCTTCAGTGGCAAATTCTGCCAAGCATTGAAAGAAAAAAAAAACAATACTAATCCTTTAAAACTTTTATCAGAAAA